AACCTTTTTTTTTTTTTTTAAAGAAAATTATTGGAGCTTATGTACAAAATAATTGTGTGACAAATATCTACTTGAAAATTGTAAAAGATTTGCTTTTTTTAAAAAAAGAACTGTAGATCGAATAACAGTTTGAAAGTTCCAAGAGTTTTGTGTACCGGCAGTGTATAAAGCAAACCCCAGCGCCTGCGAGGAGATGGCTGGTCGGGGTTAAGGAAAGTAACACCAGGTGAGGTGAAGTGCTGCCAAAACTAAATTTTTTGATGTGGTGCCCAGGGTACAAGCCTCACGAGTCGGATAGTCTTGATATGTCCCAACTTAGAAGTACCTAGGTTGCAAGCCTTACGAGTCAGATAGCCTTGCTATGTCCCTGGTTGTAGTAATTTGTTTGGTGATCATATAACAGCAGCAGGGAATCCTCATAAAATTTACCATATAAGAATAAAGATACTTTCATTACAGTTAAAATGAGAAAATTACTGTAGCTTTATGTCAACATAATGACATACACTTCCCATTTTTATCACAAACAATTTCATTATCATTTATAAGTAAGGCCTAATATATTTCAATTAGATATAGATTTAGGCTTAGAAGCTATCAAAATATTAGGGTGATTGTGAATACCAGTACTCACCTAAGCATTACTACCCACACAAAACCAATGTTGCCAGGTAACCTCTTTCTTATTGGGTTTCAAAAATTATTTGTGTTTTTATATTTAAAATTTTTCTTTTCTACATAAAAAAACTTGGCTTGAATTTAAATGGGTGCGACCCAGAGTGAAGAGTTTTAGGTATAGTGTTTCCCATCAGCTTAAAAAAAAATGCAATCCAAAATATGGTAATAAACCCCTGCCATGAATCAATTCTGATTTAATTTCCTGAAATTCTTTGAGTTCGATAATGATATTCAACTTAAATTGGATGAAATAAGATTCTGAATAATAAATACTTTAGGAACTAGGATCATTGTCAGTAATGTTGTTAGGTCAGGTCAGGCGTCAGCGACCAGTGATATCTGTGAAAATCTTGGGGGTAATGCGGGTTCAAAAGACATACATAAAATAAAACCTAAAAAACGTTCATTGCTATGACATAAAATAGGTCCTTGCAACTCTGCATCTGGCCAGAGTAACAGAGAAACGCAGCAAACATATTATGGTTAGTATTGTCTTGCATAACCGCACACCTTGTCTTGTACTGGTACATGTCATTTTGGCCCAGTCGCCTGTTTTTTTTTTAGGCTATACAATTTCAAGAATTTTAGTAGTAAGTTATTGCATTTATGTTATACTTTTTATATTTATAATTGTATTTTCAGTCTTTATACATTCAATTTAACAGATTTCATTTAAATACTCTTGGATACTCTCCATTTCTAATTGAGGTTAACAGCGATACAACTATATTTTTAAATAAACAGCTAAAATATTTTAGTCCCTAACCCCTGAGTAAGGTCATAAAATAGCTGTTAATTTGTATCATTTTACAATGAATCAACTGGTTCATTGGCCACTTATTAGACTAGATGTCACATTGAAGCAATGAGGTTTGAGAAAGATGAGATGGAGAGCCTTATCTACAAAAATTAATCATCAAATATATTATATAATTTTTTATTACATAATTTAATAAATCTTTTTTAAAACTTTCATCAATGAAAAAACTGAAAAAATTGTAATGAATGAATGAATGTCATCAGTTCACATCATAATAGAGAATGAAAATGTATAAATTAATGATTGAACAAAATAGAAATCCATGATAATATAAATGATTAATGTAATACAGATATGGTATATACAATGCAGCATATTCCCATAACTTCCATACATCAATCATGACAGATGACATCATAAGATGACAAACGACATTAACAACTATCTTAACATTTGCATTGTTAAAAACTATTGAAAACAAAACAAACAAAAATTGATGTTGGAAAATGACAGATCTGTGAAAAGAAAAATAGTTTAAAGATTAAGGTCAGTGGTTACCTAGCATGTTGATCAGCAAACACATGAAAATAATGAAGATATCTGCATCCTCATCAGCCATTTATTAAAAAAATGAAAATAGTTCAGCAATAGATTCAGCACCAAACTAGTTGCTTTGTTCACAGAGACTGAGAAATCTACATTGTAATCTGGGATCATTTAAGTTTTTCAATTTCAAATATTTTTGTTTGCTTGTTATTGTTATATATTGTCTGCGGAAGAAGTTATTTTACCCAAAACGCATTTTTAATTGTCCTGTCTTTTTTCAAGTCTAAACATTTCTTGTTCCACTGTTTATCTAAACATATCTTGTTCCACTATTTATTTAAGAGTCAATAAAACAAATGAGGTTTAATTTTAAACGTTGAGAACTTTCAAACAATTGTTTATTCTATTTAGAACCCTTACTTGAAGACAAATTTTTAAAATTTATAATAATATTTCTTAAATTGACATTGACCCATGGGCATTGCACCAAAATTTATTTCAATAAATACCATAGAACTACTTTATACTGTTCATATATAATGGTCTCATTCATTTTACCAAATTAAGTTCAGTTAAAATATGCATATTTCTTGCATCTTATTTTAAACAAGTGCAGTTACAATATGCATATTTCCTTACCATCTATTTTAATCAAGTTCAGAACTATACTATATATTCCCTGGCCATCTTTTTTAAAATCAAATTCAGAACAATATGCATATTCCCGTGCCAGCTTATTTTGACAGGAAAGGACTTTGAGAAATAATGTCATATTAAAAGAATGTGTACTGTAATACAGGTAGTCACAAAAATAAGTTTCATTACAAGAGTTGTTGCAATTGTAAAAAAGAAATTATGACTTAAAATTTAAAAAAAAAAATTAAATTTCCCCACTGAAGACTAAAATAGGCAGCAGTGTGAAAGAGTGTTATGGGTTTGTCTTGAATAGCAAGCACCTAATTTGGCCAGCATCATCATCCAATTTACTCATTAACACTTCCATTATAATACAATAAAGCAACATAAGATTATGACAACACCCTGGTTACCCCCATGCAAATGAATTGGAAAAAAAAAAAAAAAAAAAAAAAAAAAAAAAATAAAAAAAAAAAAAAAAAAAAAAAAATTTGGCCAGCATCATCAACCAATTTACTCATTAACACTTCCATTAAAAAACAATAAAGCAACATAAAATTATGACAACACCCTGGTTACCCCCATGCAAATGAATTGGAAAAAAAAAAAAAAAAAAACAGAAGAGAAATGTTGACTGAAACTACAGACAAAATAGCTTTAATTCAAACCAAAAAATAAGAAAACTAATAACATGTTGTAGAATCTTAAAAATTGTAAATAAAACTTCTACAGAAGTTAATAATAGGTCAGGGTATAATAACTACAAGAGGTTTGAATACCATTATAACAACACATTTTTATTTAAAATTTGTAATGGTACTCTGCTGTAAACTTATGCTCTGCATGGAATTAGTTCTACTTTTAAAATTTTCTTTTAAATAAATTATTATCTGTGGAACAAAGCTCGGCAATTTGGGGAAACTCATCAAAGAGAATTCTCTTTAAAATTTTCTTACATGCTTTGGGGTGTGAAAGACATATGCACATAAAAATAAACTTGACACATTTTTAATACCCAATAGTTACATTTAAAAAATGATTCAAAAGCTACCACCAAAAAATTGTAACTGGAAAAAACAAAGCTCTAATCAATTATTTAGTATGATTATCCAATAGTTCACAATCATAGTCAGCTGCAATGAACTGACTGAAAGATATCCCTGGTCCCATGTACTTAATAATATCACATTCCACCATATTGAAAACTTGACAAAGTTCACATAAGTTATACAAATTTTGGGCCTTCTGAACATCAGAATTTTAACAAAACTATTTTTTTTTGTTTAATCAACCCAGAACGATACTGGTTACTGAAACTTAAAGTCATAAAGCCAGGCTCTACTAATACACACAAAAAAATACCCCAAGTGAAAAAATAAAACAAATAACTTCTGTACCTCCTCCGCTTTTTTGTTGTCTAATTAACTAATGCACATATTCTGTTGAGGATTTGAGATTACCCTCTTTCAACCCCGGCTAGCGCATTGGTAATCAGCTCCATCTGCTGAGCTGTGCCATATAACATTTTCCTCACGTAGGGCTCTCCCGCCACCCTGGCCTCTCCTGATGAAACCTCTAGTGATGGGCATTCTGTCAACAGACCAGGCTGCAATGCCAGCAGGTTGTATAACCAAAGTGTTCTAAATGATTGGAAACCTAATTATTATTAATAATAAAATGACTAATGGTTAGCACACAAATGATAACCTTATTCTAGAAAGCAAAAAAAAAATAAAAATATTTATGGCTTTAGCACTTTAGCCAGAAAAGACTTTTAGTTCTGGCAATAAAGTTCCATCAAATTTGTATTCTTAACTTAAGAGATGATCTTTAGCAGCATAATCATATACAGTAAATGGAAAATAACTGCTTAAACTTAAATGAAATTTTTATGTGTACCGGTAGTAAATAATAAGCCTCACCAATGAAGAATAATGTAATTATTTTTTATGAAATGGTTATCTAACTGCCTCTCTTGGATTTCATTTTATTAAATATTGACAAGTGTAAAAAATCATGATAAGTTTTCTGTGGTGATAAGGGAAATCTTAACAACTTTTGCATCCACAATCCAAAAATAAATATTTTTAATAAAAGACAACTTTTTCCTAAAAGAAAAATTTTCTGAAGATAAAAATCTATTTCCCTTCTTTTGCCTTGTTCCATTTTTGAAGCACACAAATGATAACCTTATTCTAGAAAGCAAAAAAAAAATAAAAATATTTATGGCTTTAGCACTTTAGCCAGAAAAGACTTTTAGTTCTGGCAATAAAGTTCCATCAAATTTGTATTCTTAACTTAAGAGATGATCTTTAGCAGCATAATCATATACAGTAAATGGAAAATAACTGCTTAAACTTAAATGAAATTTTTATGTGTACCGGTAGTAAATAATAAGCCTCACCAATGAAGAATAATGTAATTATTTTTTATGAAATGGTTATCTAACTGCCTCTCTTGGATTTCATTTTATTAAATATTGACAAGTGTAAAAAATCATGATAAGTTTTCTGTGGTGATAAGGGAAATCTTAACAACTTTTGCATCCACAATCCAAAAATAAATATTTTTAATAAAAGACAACTTTTTCCTAAAAGAAAAATTTTCTGAAGATAAAAATCTATTTCCCTTCTTTTGCCTTGTTCCATTTTTGAAGTGCTTTTGTGAAATTTTTGCACACTGTTGGGATTGAACCTGGTTCACGCTGTCGAACAATGCATCGCTGAATGTAATTATAAGTATTTTCAATTGTTTCAGGGTACATCATATTGAAAACCCAGTAGCTAGAATACAGTGAAGCAAATGCAATGGTGAATTCCTCAAATTCTTGAACAATCGTGTTTTCAGCAATCAAGAAGAACTCATCAGTGCGAAATATGTTTCCACGTGCCACTAATGTAGGGACTATTTTTCCTTGGGCCACGACTTCTTCATCTTCACCAATCTCCAGAACCATCTCCACAAAGTTTTCACCGAAATGCAAGGGCAGTAAACACAAAGCCGTCACCATATCCCAATACTGTTTTAAAGTGTCGTTCTCCTGCTTAGCTTGCTCCCATCTGGCCAAAACTGGCGCTGCTCCTTTCTTGTTTCTGGCCATCTCAATGACCGCAGTGGCATACCTGACACAAAATTCTTGAATCTTCTGATCAATATCAATCTTTGTGATACGTTGGAATTCTATAAGAAGCTGTTTGCCCATAAATAAATCTGGATAGAGTTTTTTCAGTTCTGGGATTGTGGGCATCTGCTTGGTTATGATCTTTCTCCTCTGTTCAAAGGTCTTGTCCATGTGTTCCAAAATCTGCTCCGGTGTTTTCCCAGTGGCTTTGCCTGAGCCTGAAGATGGCATCAACTTTGCTTTCTTCTCTGGCTCCTCCCCATCTTCCAGCTGTGCATTACTTGAATTTGGTTTGCTGCTTATATCAGAGCTGCTGGTGTTCAGCTGGTTGCTGTTTTCTGAACTGACCACTGTAGACCCAGCTGCAGCCGTTTCCAAATTAGGTCGTGCGGTGTCCTGACTTGCTGTGGCAACCGATGTTTCCATGGGCTCGGGTGTTGATTTGGTTGTTTCGCTGTTGCTGGTCACTATCACAGACTGTGAGGATGGTGCCAGAGCACTGCTTGTGGGCACAGGCAAAGAATCTGCAACATCTTTATTTTTGTCCTGATGAACTGGCCCATCCACAGCTTTTTCAGATGAGGCGCCGTCAACCACAGCTTTATTATCTGAAGCCAAGCCGTTGTCTCCAGATGTCGATTTAGTCGGACCTGACACTTCATTTTTCTTTCCTTTAGTTGAACACTGATCCACTGCTGTATCGTTTTTCACGGAGCATGAGTTAGAACTATTTGTTGCTTTGTTGGCTATCAGGACATTGGTGGCGTTATTGGCAGTTTCAGAATTCATGGACAATGTGTGGTCTTCTGATGGAGGATTCCCATCAGAGGCAGCTACTGCAGACCCTGGTGTTTCTAAAGGTAATGAAGGCTGCAGAATGTTGGGCTGACTGGCAGCTTCAGCACCTGACATCTCAGCATGGGTTCGTTTGGTCGCTTGAGGCACGACCACAGGAGCACTGACACTGCTGGCCATAGCTAGTCAGTTGTGAAACTTGGTGTCGCTAATTAGTCAAAAGTTCCTGTGGAATATATCCAAATGGTTAGATTAGTAAAATCATTTTTGAATGGGATGATGGGTCATAAATCTACAGTTCCATATTACTAACAGAAGTTGTTTTTTTCATCTTGTCTTACTAAATACAAATTTGAAACTAGTTACTTAAAAAATGTATAATTTTGATCATTCCTTCAAACCATTTGAATTCTTCAACTTTAAAATTACTGCGTCAAGTATGGACAGGGATACCATAGTAATGTTTAACCCATGAACTGTCCTAACGGCCGTTATGGCTGCTTCTGTGGTGTTACGGCCAATATAATCGGCCGCTACCGATTATAAATGTGAAATGGATGTTTTAGGGTTGTTTGAAGAGGGGATAACTCTAACAAATTAGATTTATAGAAAACTAAGGTACGGTAAACATTTCATGAGTTCATTTTTTAAGCAAAAATGTTGTTTGTGAAAACAAACTTGCGGGATTCAGATGTTGGCCCTGCTAAATAAAAGCCTAATTTATTTGAATTATTTCTTGATGAAAGTGATTTTGAAGATATTTTTGTTGTTATGAAAGCATTGGGGTGTGCATGGGAGGAGTAGTGGGAGGTGCCCAAATATTTTTAAAAGCTATGAAATAAAATCACCTTGGTTTGCGCTAGTCACATTGCTTCTAGACACAGCAACAGTAATAATAAGCATATCAGCCCTAGTGAAAACATTACAACATAAGAGTTTGTGAATTTTTCGGATAAATATAGAAAAGAAGGTTTTAACAAAAATTTTTTAGACAATAATGGCTATCTTAATGAGCTTAATATTAATATTTCGATACAAGGTAGGAAAATGATTGTCAATGAGCTGCAACAGAAATCCAATTTCTTTCTGAAGCAAAGTTCCACTTGACACTGATTTGGAAAAAAAATTTCAGTTTCATTTCTCATACTGACAATTTTCAGCAACCAAGACCAAGGAATAATTTATTAGAATACTGCTTTTTCTTTTAATAAACTTAGTGAACTAAAACATTGTTGAATTTCTGAACTAAAATAATTGTAATGTTCACATAATTTACTTGAATAATTCTAACCAGAAAATAACTTTATTGAAAACTGCTACTATACAAAAATTTGGTGTCAATTTTTTTATAAAATGACCTTTGGTACACAATGGTTGATGTGGCAATGTAGGCATTAACATCATAGCGTTCAGTATGAGCCCAGATATTTGGGAAGAATCTGGAAAGGAGAGCATAGTGGTGCTCCTCTCCACACAAAGGCTCAATGAATTGCAAAGCCAACAGAACAGCTGCTGTAAGGCAAGGGTTAACTCTGCACATGCAGATCTGAGATGACTTATTCATCCCTTGCAACCACTGCTCAAAAACCTTTTGTGCCGGATTCGGTCTCATCAGCCCCACTGACAGAATCAGCCCCAGCAAGGATCCAATGAATAAAGTGGTCAAACAAGTAGCACAGCCACAAGCCAACATGTGGGCTTTCCCGGGTCATTGGTTTGCCCCGGGTGGTCAGTTCCTCCGCTATCACAAACTATCTGGGCATGTCCAAACCCAAAATCTGGCCCTATCCCAATATGTTTGAGCGCCCTTGTTGTACATATTACTAAGATTTGAAGAGATTCAACAATGCTAAATATACAATAAGAGGCTTAGGGCTAAGTAAGACTAAGACTAAGAGTAGGTAGACTGGTAGACAGTACTGACCAATGCCAATCATCTATCTGAGATTCCTAATCACTTTCCTCAAAATTGATTAACATGTCTTTATTTTCTTAAATTTACAATTGAATAATACAAGTCATATCTACTTTAATTTTTTTCTGTTAGAAACTAGATTCCACTCAGCCTAATTGGATTTCTCCGAAAATTCCATACGAAGACTGTGTAGTGTATTTGGCAATATAGAGACAATGAACGATCCCTTGAAGAGCTTGCACAGTGGGAAATTATTACAATGGCCACAGAAGGAAGAAAAAAAAAATCTTTTTTTTTCCAATAAGAGTTGCTGAAGGCTTATGATTTTAAAATGGCCCTTACCCCTATGAGTTACAGATATATTACTCAAGCGGACTTTTTTGATTAAATAAGGAAACAAAAGTGGTTGCAACACCACAATCCATGAACACACGAGTCAAAGCCGGAATGTAGCCAGAACGAGTGTGGTAACTAGCGAGGGCGAGGGTCGGCATATCGGAGGGAATGCGCGGCCTGTGTTACTAATCTTACTTTTTAAAAATATACAACTTTGCGTTGCATAAAAAACTTAAGTGCAATGGTAAATGTGTTTAGTCGTCGTACTCGATATATTTACCTTGAAGCATAACCAGATGGAATAAAATAAGATCAATTCTGCAACAAGTCGATAAGGACCAAGTTAACCGGATGTCGAAATGAAAACACCGCAATGCAAAGGGGAGCATTAATTGTTCAATGCAATGGGAGTTTCAGTGAAATCGCGCCAGGGTAAAATTACTAAAAACCTTGTTGCTAATTATTTACTCATTCAAAATAGTCACCGAGGGGTACCGGAACTTTGTTTGAAAGAAATTTCGTCGACAGAAGTTTGATCGAATGGAATTTGATCGATTTTTTTTTTTCATTTCACACGATCAAATTTTCGTCAATTTTTTTTTTTTGAACGTATACTAAAACAAAATAATGCGTTCAAAAAGAAATTTTACGCAAAAAGGTTATATTTTTGCTTACAATAAGTAGCGTAGCACATGTATGTAAAAAAAAAATATCTGTCTTTTAGTTTGAAATTTGCATGTTTCGCCCTTATTGTATTGACTTCGAAAAATATTTTTGCGTGGCAAAAATTTGGTTAGTAACACTAGAGTAGGTAGGGTTACCAGACGTCCGTCTTCAGTACTTTGTGTCCGGCTTGTCTGTACTTTTGCCAGCGACGACTTACTTGGCTTATTTCCATTTAATGTGTGTCATCTTATTCCTCCACAAAGGTTAGCGCAGTCAATAGTTTCAGCGCAATCGTGCGGAACATTTCTCGTTAACCTAAACGTCACTGCCGCGCCTGAATAAAACTACGTGAGACTATCGGCGCATGCAAATGAAATCTTCCCATGCAAATGAAATCTTCCCGGGTAGAATTGTTCACAGCAATCTTTTTGATAAGTTAACTTTCGTGAAACATAAGCTGGAAGAATGGAACTCGCAAAACATTTCTGTAAATCAAATAAATAAGATATTAAAATCATTTACAACAACCTTTGCTGTTGTGTCCCCCCCCCCCCCCCCNGTCTAAATCAACTATAGGCCTACCATTGACTATGTCATTGTCAAGATGTCTAAATCAACTATAGGCCTACCATTGACTATGTCATTGTCAAGATGTCTAAATCAACTATAGGCCTACCATTGACTATGTCATTGTCAAGATGTCTAAATCAACTATAGGCCTACCATTGACTATGTCATTGTCAAGATGTCTAAATCAACTATAGGCCTACCATTGACTATGTCATTGTCAAGATGTCTAAATCAACTATAGGCCTACCATTGACTATGTCATTGTCAAGATGTCTAAATCAACTATAGGCCTACCATTGACTATGTCATTGTCAAGATGTCTAAATCAACTATAGGCCTACCATTGACTATGTCATTGTCAAGATGTCTAAATCAACTATAGGCCTACCATTGACTATGTCATTGTCAAGATGTCTAAATCAACTATAGGCCTACCATTGACTATGTCATTGTCAAGATGTCTAAATCAACTATAGGCCTACCATTGACTATGTCATTGTCAAGATGTCTAAATCAACTATAGGCCTACCATTGACTATGTCATTGTCAAGATGTCTAAATCAACTATAGGCCTACCATTGACTATGTCATTGTCAAGATGTCTAAATCAACTATAGGCCTACCATTGACTATGTCATTGTCAAGATGTCTAAATCAACTATAGGCCTACCATTGACTATGTCATTGTCAAGATGTCTAAATCAACTATAGGCCTACCATTGACTATGTCATTGTCAAGATGTCTAAATCAACTATAGGCCTACCATTGACTATGTCATTGTCAAGATGTCTAAATCAACTATAGGCCTACCATTGACTATGTCATTGTCAAGATGTCTAAATCAACTATAGGCCTACCATTGACTATGTCATTGTCAAGATGTCTAAATCAACTATAGGCCTACCATTGACTATGTCATTGTCAAGATGTCTAAATCAACTATAGGCCTACCATTGACTATGTCATTGTCAAGATGTCTAAATCAACTATAGGCCTACCATTGACTATGTCATTGTCAAGATGTCTAAATCAACTATAGGCCTACCATTGACTATGTCATTGTCAAGATGTCTAAATCAACTATAGGCCTACCATTGACTATGTCATTGTCAAGATGTCTAAATCAACTATAGGCCTACCATTGACTATGTCATTGTCAAGATGTCTAAATCAACTATAGGCCTACCATTGACTATGTCATTGTCAAGATGTCTAAATCAACTATAGGCCTACCATTGACTATGTCATTGTCAAGATGTCTAAATCAACTATAGGCCTACCATTGACTATGTCATTGTCAAGATGTCTAAATCAACTATAGGCCTACCATTGACTATGTCATTGTCAAGATGTGTTCATGAATCAAACAGTTCATTAAAAAATCTTAGATGACATAGGAAGCTCAAGAAGCGAATGTCTAATTGAATGTTGACAAATGACGTTAAATTAAACAGCTTTTGTCCCGACCATATAAAAGGAATTAGCCACTTTGTCAGCCGACCTGGCGTCGACTATACCCCCCACCCCATACCCCAAACCCTTTGTTTTCCAACCCGGACCAAACCGCGTTTTAACAACAGAACTTAATTGACATTCAATCTGAGTTGGTCCTGAAAGTGTGTCCCGCGCTGCTGTTCACTACGCTAGTGCCGATTGGTGGAGGCGGGGAGACGGCTCAATTTATTCATCACGAATAATATAGAAACGCCACAGCTCTCCAGCACCCCTCTATAAGGCGTATTCATTGGGGTGGGGGGGGTGGGGGTGCACTTCAGGTGGGACCGAGGACGGAACTTGCTCGGGTCGTCACAATGCATAGTTTCGGTATTATAGATGCCACCCCACCCACGAATTCCTCAAATGCCCACACCCTCAAATCATATTGTCTGAAAGAAACATTGGTACTGTCCTTTTTCCATTTTACCATAGGGGGCGTCCATTAATTACGTCAACAAAATAAGTGTTGGGGGGGGGTTTGGAGATTGTTGACAGTTATGACAAGGAGGAGGGGGAGTTTAGATAAGTTGACGTCAACAATTACGTTTTTTTTCTATTAGAATCTTAATCTTAAAAATTGACTTGTACTTGCATTATTTTAAACAATTTAATGAGTGTGTATAGTCATATGTATGTTTAGGCTTTTAACAATATTAGCGTTACTTAATGTGTGTCTCTCTGTGCATGGCAGATGGTTGGTCAGGACGTTAGCACACTTTGTTAGTGCAAGAGAAGTCAAAAGTTGGCATCTCTTCACCTGTCATTTTTCTCCTAATCCACTCCCTAGAATGATTAACACATCATTGTACACGGTGTTCAATTTAAAAAAAAAAACACCCAACTCATCGGTGTTCAATAACAAATATACCAACTGAAAGACAGAGAGAGCTTATGACAATTATTGCTCACACCGATAATACTTCTATTTTAGTGCTGAATGGTTAGGTAAGGATGATGTTGACTTGCCTGGTATATCAGTTGATGAAAATGATATATCAACTTCTATGCCCATCAGGGGCGTATTTTCAGGTATTCTAAAGTGGAAGGGAAGAGAGGGGGGCAAAACCAAAACTTGGTCGGCTTGTTAAGTTGTTTATTACCGGAGGTGCCACAGTACATAGCAATTTAAATTAAAACCAGCAAAATCGGGGGTGGGGGGTGGGAAGGGGGGGGGGGCAAATGCCTATTGTTACGATAGAGCAACACCTGGCTACTCCATGGAAAGATTATAGCAGCCAGAAACTATACTGCAATTTTCAGCTATACTGACAATAATAACATCTATACTTCCACTAACAGTGATCTTTAGTCCTTAACAACCTTTTAATTGATTCTGCATAATAAAATTCAAGTGTAAAATTGTTTAAACTTGATGAACAAGCTAAAGGTGTAACAAAATGGTTTCCCTACAATTTTATGTGCCATTCAAAAAGATCAGCACAAAATAAAATATATTCATAAATCTATTTATATCATAATTCCCTTTTTTTTGGAGGTGGGGAGGGGGGTTATAAAATGTTGACATAATTAAATCGGGGGTCATCTAAAGTTTGACAGTTGTTGACCAGGGGGAGGGGGGGGGGTAAAATGCGTAAAAATTGTTGACGTAGTTAATGGACGACCCCATATTGTAAATAATGAATTCTGTCCATCAAACATACTTGACTGAATGAGAGAAAGAATTAGGGAGAACGAATGAGTAAAAACTTTCTGATGTGGGTGGCGGTCGCAAATTATTAATACATTTTTAGGCGCTTTTTAAAACAAATGTTTTTTAAAATTTTATACACAATGCCCGATGTCTGTGTCTAACCATTTTGATGGAGCATGGGTGAGCTGAACAACTTGAACAGCCATGTGGAGAATTCGTTGTCTTTTGCTTGTTGGAGGATTGCTAAATGATTGTGATTGTGTGCATTTACAAAATGAACGTTATATAAGTGGCAGATAACTGGGGTACACCTTCCTATATAATCCCATTCACTGTACACCTTCCTATATAATTCCATTCACTGTACACCTTCCTATATAATTCCATTCACTGTAAACCTTCCTATATAATCCAATCACTTTACACCATTCTCTATGATCATGTACACCATGCTATATAATCATGTAATCCAATCATGTACAACGTGCTATATAATGTCATTCATGTCACACCACGGTATATAATTCAATTCACTTCAATTTTATACATAAAATACTCCCATTCACCGTGCACCATATAATCCCATTCACCGTACACCATATAATCCCATTCACCATGCACCATATAATCCCATTCACCGTGCATCATATAATCCCATTCACCATTCACCATATAATCCCATTCACCATGCACCATATAATCCCATTCACCGTGCACCATATAATCCCATTCACCGTGCACCATATAATCCCATTCGCCGTGCACCATATAATCCAATTCACCGTGCACCATATAATCCCATTCACCGTCCACCATATAATCCCATTCACCGTGCACTACTAATCTCTTATCACTTTAACTCTCATTCATATGTTAAGAGACATGAGCAAGAAAAAAAATGACAGAATTTTATGAGAAATGTAAAATAAAATGTATCACACCCTGTCATTTGCGTGCACCCATT